TTCCCAATAACTTCATTAATTTTCATAAATTTATTAGGCCTGGATCAAACAAACCCAAGCCCGACGTCAAATGGGTGATATCTATGCGTTTGGTATGGTAATGTATGAAATTCTCTTCCGTGCTTTACCTTTCCCTAGTGCCACCAACATTGATGGTAAGAAATATCCCAATTTACCGAAACGGGATTGTTTCCAATGTAATTTGTACTAAGAGCTCCTCGAATACATCCAAGATGGTCAGAAGACTTTCCGTCCGACAATTCAAGACAAGAGTGAGATACATCCGGATCTTACTGCTCTGCTGCTCGACTGTTGGAATGAGAATCCCGAAGTGCGACCGTCAATTCGAAGAGTTCGTCTGAATACAGAGAGTTATTTGAAAGTGTGAGTGAAGGGTATTAATGGATTTTTTTGACAAATTTTGCCAAGGCATAAAAACAGATATGGGTAACTAAGGATTAATTAAGTTCATATCACAAAAGAACGAAAAGAAAGTGATTACCCTTTTGCAATTCTTGACTGACAGTTGTAAGATACGTGAGAAGCTTAGCAAACACTCTTATGGCTGACTATCTTAGTTTTCCCAGTTTTAACTCCTTCCCTAAAACTTTGAAACTTATTTTCTCTTTTCAGAAAAGGTTCTCTGGTCGATCAAATGATGCGAATGATGGAGCAGGTATGCCTTTCTTCAAATTGATTCAAATCTCTGCTGTCAGCGTCTTTCACCACAAAATAGCAATGTTTGCTAATTACAGTACGCCAATAACCTTGAGAAGCTGGTCCAAGAACGAACTGGTATGCTTGAAGATGCAAATGCGAGGGCTGACAAACTGCTAAGTCAGCTACTACCACAGTAAGAAATTCCTTTTTTTTACAAATTACTCATTTGTAGTCTAAGGACTTTTTTTACTATAAAATTCCTGGATTTTATCAATAATAAGCTGATGCGCTAACATATAAAGTCGTTAGATTAGAATAACTCAAAATTTTTGTGAAAATGTTGAAAATTTAAGAAAACACACATCCATGATTAGCTAAAACTTCAGGACAATGGAGGTGTTGCTTTGGATTTGTTCCAAACACAATTGATTTTATAGTCCTTAGATAGATGAATGACATCCACTGCAATAATTGGCATTCTCTATTTAGATACGTTGCCAATGAACTGAAGTTGGGCCGCGCAGTCCCGCCAAAAACCTTCCAATCTGCTACGGTTTTCTTCAGGTAAGTAACCTATCTTAAGCTCGCAAGTATCTTAGATTTTCTAGAAACACAGAAGATAAAAAGATTAGAAGATAAATTCAAGATTACATTACGATTGATTTCTTGTCCTCTGAGTGCATCATCAAATCGCCTTACAAGCTTCGAGTTAAGCCTGACTCCTTCTAAGCTGTGCAAGAGGATTCTTAGCCTATGATGATGCAGTTCTCAGATAATCTACAAGTGCGTAGATAAGCTTCCAATTTCTATTTTAGCGATATTGTGGGATTTACTACGATCTGTTCTTCATCCTCTCCATTGGAAGTTGTCAATATGCTCAATGCTATATATACCAAGTTCGACGATGTGATCACTAAAAATCAGTGCTATAAGGTAAGGCAACGGTACCAAGTAAGTGCTGAAACATAAAAAGAAATAATAGAGTTGAAAGGCTGATTGAGCTATCGGAACATCAGTCGAATAATCCATAACCCATTGTCGATCGCGTGACCCACGGGTAGGCCATGCATTTTGGGATGCGTGAGACCTTGTCGCGACCAATTCTACTTAACTTGTTAAAATTTCTTCAAAAAAAAAAAACATAAGAGAATGGACGCTGTTCCACTTTACCGAACTCAAAAAGTGAAATTCTGGTTTTCGCTTAAACCCAACCCAAGAAGATAGCTTGGGATCTTGAAAAAATACATCCATTTCGCACCGGGACATACTCTAGGATTACACTATATGGAGTAATGGGACATATCACGCCTTTTCTGATAATTGGTGTAATGGCGTTATTCGAAATCCTCAGAAAAATCATATCTATTCCACTTTAAGTTTACGGTAAAAAAACGATGGTGAATCAAAACCATGAAATCGCCTAAAACTCTATATAGAATGACTTTTCACATGTTAGTCGAATATTAGAGTGCGGCGTTTATAGGCTAATTGGTTTAGGTTCATCATATAGCAAATGCAAAGATTGATTCTCTAATTAAGGGCTTAGGTAAAAATAGGACCATTGTGTAAAGTCTCATTCGATTTTATGATTTTGGCCCACTACCGTATAACCCTCGTAGCCCTACAGTATAGCACTACCATGCGAAATGAGTATGACTCAATAAAAAAAACTCAAAATTTGATATTTTGTGCCCGAAAATGGGAATATCACCTTGGATACTTAGAAAAGAAGATGAAAAGATCTGCGCTCAATGTAATTCTAGGTGGAAACGATTGGTGATGCCTATATGGTCGTCTCGGGTATCCCTGAAGAAAATGGCAATAGGCATGTCATGCACATTGCTGACACCGCTCTAGAAATCATGGAGGTAAGACTTATCAAATTTGCAATATTCAAAATCCCAAAATCTTGAGAAAAAAAA